ATTATGATTTACTTCCTCTTCGCCACTTCCTCACCACAATAAATTTCTAGCTTCACTCCTGGTCAATAGGTTTTCAGTCCGGCCGAGTCCCTCTGGACCAGGTCATAGCTTATTTTAGTAGATTGTGGACAGTTCCGTTTTCGCATTACGACTGCGGGAGAGGTATATTGGTTCGGCCAATCTTACACTCGCTACCAACGGCATTTTCTGTATGTGATTGTGAGGACAAGTGGGATAAAATTGCGCATGAATGAAAAAGACATGATGCGAAAAGTGAGAGATACGGGAGGGGGAGTAAGTTCTGTTTTTTATCACTGAGATACTATAGCTCTCCACAAGTGGTACTCCTGGTTGATGAGGTACTTTGTCGTAGCCGATGTCCGAGGTGAGGTTGTGATGCTCAACATTTGCCGGTGATATCTCAAAAACGGCTAAAGTCTTGCCAAAGTATTTCGATAGGGGAAATTTTTTGAGATGGTAATCTCTAGAAGACGAAACAGACATCAGTACTGCAAGCAGGCTGACCACCACGGGATGCAGTACTGATGACCACCATGGGATGCAGTACTGATGGAGGAAGGAAGCTGCAAATTGCAGCTAATTTACGCATACAGTATCCCTGACTTACATAACTCAAAACCGAAGGGCGTGACATAGCTGCGCACTACCTCTCTGCGAGCACGCCAATCACATCACTAATATGGGATGCCCACAGCAATGCCCGGGCGGTCTTGTTATCCTGTTGCATACAGTAATACCAGTGTTTTTTTGTGAAACTAATTATTGTGGGTTTTGTGTTTCTCGCGATCATATTTGCTGTGTAGCTTTGTCTTTCATATCCGGATTCTACTGAAGTTGTATGTAATCAGAAAATTTAAAATCTTGAATTATAATCGATAAGACTGAACAAATATTACAGAGTGACCGGCCTGGCATCCAGTGTACAGGAAGTGGACAGGGTTGTCGGCGATTTTTTCATCAGGTAACTTTTTGGCCAGCCAATCTTTCAGTCTTTGAATCTGCAAACGGTAAAAGATGCTTCAAACTCAACTTGAAATTCTGAGATTACGTCGATGGTGGGGCATTATTTATTCCATATTTTTTTGTGCCTTCACACCGGCATATTTAATTGGTATTTTGACACCATTGGCTTTTTACTGTTTCATTTTCCTTTCATATTTTCCATCATTTTTCTCGTGTTTTTTCATAGTCTCTACGAAATGAGCCAGAAAGTTTTTGTTAGAAATTCATATGCTCTATCTGAGAATAGCAGAGAAATGAGTGCAGCATCTTCCCACATCCGCTATATTCTGCTGAAAAAACTGAAGGGTGAAAGCTTATATGCTAACTGCGTGAATGTTTAATGCGTTTTTTTGCAGGAATGCAGTGAATTGTTGCCTGATGCCTTCCGGGCAATTGTGGCGGAGCCGCGCGCCGAATGGATTTGTCCGGAGTGTATGTGCCGCCAACAAACCCAGCTTACTTTTGCATAGTTGTCATCTTGTATTCTGTTTCTGTGTATTTTCGAGTGAATCAAAAAACTCATTGGTGGCAGGACCATATCTGTGCGTATGTATATCACGAAGTGCGAAAACTTATTCGAGTACTTGAATCAGAGGTGTTTTTTTTTTATTATCGCATTCCTTTTCGCCATTAATGCAGCTGGCTAATTCTCTGTTTTTTGATTTCTTTAGGCTTTCATCCACATAATTCCTTATAATCATTCAGCGAATCTTTCCACTGTATATAGTCCGTTCAGTTAATTTTTCCTAACATTGCGCGGGTACCATTCAATAATCCAGTTTTGCATTTGATGCCTTTCATTTTTGCTGCAATACCAATCCAAGCAATTCCTTCTAGCATAGATTGCCTTAATAATATCCCTCACAGCAAATCACTGGAGATATATTGCTACTGGATGAGCTGTCATGCGTCGTCCTCTTTGTTCGGTGAACTGTAGACCCCATTCCGGTCCATGTTGTTGGGTATGCTTCTACACGCACGGTGCAGCTATACCAATTCAAACGAAAATGCATGTCCGCGTTTAATCCTTTTAGCGGAAATCGTTTTCTGTGTTATCACTGTCCGTGAATTTTTACCGTCACTGATGGTTTGTAATTGGTAAGTCTTGATTTGTCGTTGTTTGGCCCTTAATTACAGCCCCTACAAGATAACTGGAGCCCGGAAAACAGCATTGCATAAATCACTAGTGATGCTATAACTGAGGAAAAAAAGTCCGCGACTGTCCTCAGTTTTTAAGACTTACCGTGTCCAGGCCATCAGCTCCTCATTCTGTTTTTTTTTAATGCAAATTTATGAACTGTGTTACTCTCTGTTTACTTGTAATATTTGCAAAATGGC